TTCTTCTCCTGAACTTCTTCAAGTTGTTTCAGATGAATCTGCGTCTGCTTTGCCATTTGTGCCTCCAGTTGCTTTTCAATCTGTTCCCCCATCCTTTTTTCACTTTGTTCTCCCATGGCCTGTATTGCCTCCAGCATCCTTTTCTCCATTGCTTCCATGGCAGCATACATCTCCTTCTTATCCTTCTCCATCAAATTTAAAGTCAGGTCCTCCTCAAAATGTCGGGCGCAACTTCTCTATGGTATTCGGGTGTAGAGTAGGTCAGGTTGCCGTGTTTCAGGTCCCGTCTGTAAGTATACACTCACTTCCGGTCCTGCTCTCTTGTAGCTCCGAGTCTCTTCCTGTTGGCTCCCTGTTGGCTTCAGCCCTTCTTTCAGGGCTTCCTCTTCCTGTTCCAGGGACTCGGAGTATTTTTCTTGTTACACCGGCCTGCTCTTCCCGCGATACAATTCGTCAGTTTCGATTTTTCGGCTGCGCGCACATCTCAGTTCCCACCGCAGGAATGTTAAACAATGTTCTTTTTTACTATTTTAAAGCCTTCAATCAACTATTTTCTTTGCCGGAATCGGATTTCTGGGAATATTTGATCTTTTCCCGCTCAACCGCTTGCTTCAATTTATATCTTAACTCAGTTCAGGTAAGCGGCATGTTTATTGTTATCTAGCACGATCACATTGGGTTTCGCATTACTTCTTTTCACTTACAGTTGTTGCCCATCTTCAAGAGGTCGGCTGGTAGAGAGCTTAAGCCGGTAATCCGGCTCGATCGGCCGCTGCAGAGTTGCTTGGCACTTGCCTTCTTCGGGGGAGGAGATCAAAGCCTGAAACGGCTCCTTCAGGAGCCGAATCACGCCAACCTCACACTCCCTCTTAGGCACTGCTGCCTGCTTGTCCCCCCCTCGCTGGGGAGCGATGCGTTGGGCTGAAAACTGCCCAAGCTGTCAAAAGCGGCCGTCGCTCACTTCGCACGATCGCGAAAGTGCGTCAGTCCTCCATCTTAGCTCGACCGGAAGCCAGTTATAACTCTCTTGTTAATACGGAAAATGAAATTTCTTAGACAGGACTGATGACAAGCCTTTCTTTGCCACCATCAGATCATTTGGATCCTAGATTGGCACCCCACCACTTGGGACCTCTCTGCTACTTTGATTGATAATGTGCGACTCTTAGCTTAGGGCCAACCTTTATAGGTTTTACTACTCCAGATCTTCAGACTATTACCAGTTTTAGTTGTTGTGAGCCAGAGCCTGGCGAGTCAAATAGCTCCCCTTCTATAACTGCTGAAACTCTGTCAATACTTTAAAATGTTTGGCAATTGGCTCAAGCATTGACCCTTAATCCAGATCAAGTTCCCAAAGTATCTAGGTGGCTCAAGATGCCATGTAGGGAGGCATTGAATGCTGGAGGAGGCATTGCCTTGGTACATGTGCCATTTATCACTTCAGATTTGTTGAGTTGGAAGCAAATGACTCCCAGAAAAGGTCCATGCACTGTTTCAAAGCATTTTTGCCACTTACAGACCAACTTGGGCAGACTGCCAGACTTTGCTAAATATTCTCCTCAGTCCAGAGTAAAATTGGATGGTCAAAGAAAAAACCAGAGCCCTTGTCCAGAAACTTGAGGCCAGTGGAGGGAACCCTATAGATGAGGTGGTCCCTCTTAAGGACTTAAGCTGGGGCCATGTTCTCCAGGGAGTTATTAAAGCAATCAAGGAGTATAGGAAGGCACTTTTGAAAGAAATGCAGCAAACAGTCCCCAAATAGAAAAAATTGAGTAAACTGTATGAGATACACCAAGAAAAAGATGAGGAACCAGCAAAAAATTTGGGAAGACTCATGAATGCTTTCAGAACTTAAAGTGATTTAGACCCTGGGGCAGAGGAAAATGTGTGAATGGTGAAAGTGATGTTTTTTGGGCAGTCATGTGCTGATATATGCAGAAAGTTACAGAAGGTTGATGGGGCAGCTGGGACGCCCCTGAGTGAGTTGGTGTATGTCAACAGGGACTAGAGAAAGAAAAAGAGGAGGAGAGAAAGGAAGAAAAATGTACGACGTGCCAGGCAGCCCTAATTGCGGCAGCCATGAAGCTACGTAGTCAGAGAGGGAGGTGGAAAAAGTTCTCCTCTCGTGCCGAGGGAGAAGAAGAACGAAGAGGTCCCTCACTAAAGATATGTGTGACTTTTGCAGACAAAAAGGCCACTGGAAAAGAGAGTGCCCCAAGCTGAAGGGAAGGAGGGCTACTAAAGTTGGCCATGGAAAGTTGCAGATGATAGAAGTGGAAGTAGAGTAAGGCTGACAGCGTCAGGGGCTGATGAGTCAGCATGCTCAAATTGAATGTTCCCCCAAGTGTCATGCCTGCCCCTCAAGAGCCCTTGGTAAAATTAAGAAGAAGAAGAAGAGGAGGAGGAGGAGGAGGAGGAGGAGATCGGATTTATACCCTGACCTTCACTACCCAAGGGAGTCTCAGAGTGGCTTACAAACTCATTTCCCTCCCCCTCCTCACAACAGACACCCTGTGAGGTAGGTGAAGCTAAGAGCGCTCTGACAGAAACTGCTCTTTTTCAAGAACAGGTGTGCCAGAACTATGGCTTGCCCAAGGTCATCCAGCAGGTGCAAGCGGAGGAGTGGGGAATCAAACCCGGTTCTCCCAAATTAGACTCCGCACACTTAACCACTACACCAAACTGGCTCTCAAAACATTTGGGGGACAGGAATTTGATTGCTCGGTCAATTCTGGAGCCACTTATTCATTGATTCCTATTGTGCATCAAGGGTGTGGCAAATCTAAATATAAAACTGTAATAATGGGCATTGATGGAAATCCAAAAGAACAAAGCTTTCTAAATCCTATAGAATTTGAATGCAAGGACAAAAGTTTATTCATCAGTTTTTGCTGACACCTGAATGTCCGGTTGCCCTACTGGGATTAGATTTGTTATGCAAATTGCAAGCAACCATCTCCTTAAATGAGGACCAAGTGATGCCTAAAATTCCACAGGAGGAACCAGATGCTTTCTAGTGGACAAAAGGGAATGAGCAGGTCTTTTGCAGAGTTAAGGAACTCTTGATGATGACACCTACTATAATGCTACCAGATCCATCTAAGACTTTGTTTTGTATTTTTTTGTATTTTTCATGTGTGTGCATGTGCGTGTGAGTCTGTGTGCACCAGGAAGTCATGGCAACCTTTGGTGAATGACTGGAAGTCATGGCAACCTCTGAGGACTGAGCCCTACTGGGGTCCTGGAGGATATTTAGAGTGGTGGCTGAATAAAGTCTGCCCCCATCTCCCGACCAGTGTTCCCTCTAAGCTCAGTTAGGTGAGCTAGCTCACAGTTTTTTAGCCTTTGGCTCACACATTTTTGTCCTAGCTCAGGAAGGAGCAAACCAGTCTCTGCTCCAGAGCAAACTAATTTATGCAGTAGCCAAATCGCTTGCTCACAACTTTAATGCCAGTAGCTCGCAAAGTAGACTTTTTGCTCACAAGACTCTACAGTTTAGAGGAAACATTGCTCCTGACTTCTGGTCTTCCAAGGAGGTCTGCCATCCAAGTACTTGCCAGCATTGACCCTGCTTAGCTTCCGAGATCTGATGAGATTGGGCTTGCCTGGGCTATTCAGGTCAGGGCTGGATCCATATAAGACTTTTGAACTGGATGTACATGAGCAGAGTGGGGCTGCTTCCCAGGTCCTGACTCAATAGCTGGGGCCTTCCCCATGACCTGTAGCATATATCTCCAAGCAACTGGATCTTCGTTTAAAGAACTATAGGGGACCTGGGTCTTGGAAGGAACCTATTGTACAGGAGTTCTTATGTAAATAACCTATCACAGGGAGCGTGTGTGTGTTGGGTGTGGTGTTGAGAACGCATTTAAGCCGGGCTTCAGTCCTGCTTGAGTTGTCTTTAGTTTGAGCTGAAATCATGATAAACCATGAGCTGATCACTCCACGCGTCTGAACCCAGTACATTTTGTTGTAAAATAGTCAAAAATTGTTTAATACTCAAACTGTTTGATGGATCTTGCTCTATTGGAAAGAAGAGATTTCTTTGCTTTTATGGGCTGAAGCTGTTAACACAGCGGTGTATCTACACAATAGAGTACCCTCAAAGCTTACTGGGACCACTCCTTTTGAGGCCTGGTTTAAAAAGAAGCCTGGATTAAAGCACATCAAAGCTTTTGGTTCCAAAGGATATGCCCACATACCAAAGGAGAAAAGGGGAAAACTTGACCCCAGGGCTGAAGTTGGATTCGTAGTAGGGTATCCAATCGGTGGAAAGGGATACAGGATATACAATCCCCAAAAGAGGTGAAAGCAATCAGCTCGGCTTTCCTCCGTTCCTCCGGGGCTCGGCACGCGTAGAAAAAAAATTCAAAAAGCTTTCTTTCAGCTGCTTTCCAAAGTGCAAGCCAGCATAAGATGGGTTCCTCCAATCACCGAGAATTAAAGTGGCCCACCTTTTCTGATTACAGCTTTGTTGCAAAGAGTAGAAAAAAAAACTTTGCAGGAAAAATAGTTCCCTTTTAAAATAAGCCTTTGTGCCAGCTCAGCTCAGCTCTCTCTCTCTCTCTCCCTATCCAATAAGCATTTTAAATAAACCATACGCTGCTACCATTTGTTGTAAAATAGTCAAAAATTGTTTAATACTCAGACTATTTGATGGATCTTGCTCTATTGGAAAGAAGAGATTTCTTTGCCTTTAAAAAACCTTTATTACTAAGGGTAAAGGGTTCACGGGATTACTACAAATTAACATAACACTAACAGCTACATTTCTAAGCTGCCTATACTGAAGAAAAGCACACACATAATGAAGAAACTCTCCTTCTTCCTGACCCCTAGAAAAGAAGTCACCTGAAACAAATGACCAATCTGTATCACAGTAGAAGCTACTTTTCCCGGGCTAATTCCCCATTGGCTTAGTGCCAGGTATCCCTTCCAGGTCAGTCTAAACAATAGCAATTCTAGGAATACAAGTTAACCCTATAATGACTGAATCAGGCCTTGTAAACACATACATTTCCAACACATTTCACAAACAGTTTGGAGCACCCTGAAAAGGCAGCACTAAACACACCCAAGAAATAATTTATCCGAAGACATTCTTCAGAAAACATTGCGGCAGAGCAGGACACGCCACTGTCAGAACCCACAGCTTAAACAATATAGTACACACTTCTAGGAAGGTTTTACGTTTATTGAAAAGCCATAGACGCAGTAACATGAACACTGTTAAGAATGGCGGTGTGCCTATGCGCATAATAGGATATAGGGCATTCGTATGCACCCCCCATAGCATTGACCAATTAGGCCCATTCCTGCGTGCGGGTTATTGAGAAGCCTTTTAATGGTTGCGTAGCTGGCGCTTAGCCGGGAAAGAACAGGTTCTCATGAACAGTATACATCACAGACTTCCACCAGCCCAACTTCAAGGTTAAAGATAAGTGTTTCGGCAGCTAAACAATTAAGCACATAGAAAGGAATGCAAAGCAATGAAATAGACACCAAGTAACCTCTCCACCTTCATGACAGCATAGCTGACAGCCACCCCGCTCCCAGTAAAACATACCCTTTGCACGTGCAAAAGTCTCCACGAGTTCACGGGCCTCGTCTTCTATTTGGCCCTGCACACCCTTCTTTCCCATTCCCAGCTTCCGCATGGTAGCTATCCCGAACTTCCTCTGTTGCTTCCAGGTGTGACCGTTTGACAGTACGATACCTGAGCCATCAAAAAAACCAATGAGACATTATACCTTGCAGAAATTCATGTTCACAATGATTTAAGTTTGTCAGCCTAGAAGCCGTGAACTCTCATGCCATTCATGTCATGTCTAAGCATTCAAGAGCTACCTACAGTGTAAGGACTGTGATTCTGATGAGGAATCGGTCTCTGTTTGATACACTGGGCTGTGACATATGTTTCAGAATCCAGAGTGTGAACCTTTGGAGGAAAGTTTGGTGGGAAATCTCAGGATGCTATTTGTCAGCTCAGGAAACAGCTGAGAGGTGGCAGCTTGTGAGCCTCCAGCTTTAGAAGAAGAAGAGGAGATTGGATTCATACCCCGCCCTTCACTACCCAAAGGAGTCTCAGAGCAGCTTACAAACTCCTTTCCCTTCCCCTCCCCACAATAGACACCCCGTGAGGTCGGTGGGGCTGAGAGAGCTCTGACACAAACTGCTCTTTTTCAAGAACAGCTCTTGTCAGAACTGCGGCTTGCCCAAGGTTATCCAGCCAGGTGCAAGTGGAGGAGTGGGGAATCAAACCCGGTTCTCCCAGATTAGAGTCTGCGCACTTAACCACCACACCAAACTTTAGGAAGCCCTTGGAGAGGAATCAGGACATCAAGTCTTGTGACCCTTCCTCCCAGGGGAATAGGACACATCTCACATCATCACTGGTGTACAGCAAGAAGTTGAAGGGGAGGGGCAGAACCCTGACTTTCAGTTGAGAGCTGGTATTAAGATACCCTCTCAACTTTCAGCTGACAGCCAGTCTTTTGGGCATAGAACATAACTCGTGTGCACTTGTCATCTATAGTGTCAGGTATAAATCCTGAAAACAAACACTGGTATGGTACAGCCGGCTAGATGACTCTCTATTGTCATATCCAGCGTCCTTTGCTTATAGCACCTCTACTGTTCTTGTGTCTCCTTCATTTAGAAGAAAGGAGATTGGATTTATAACCCACCCTTCACTACCCAAAGGAGTCTCAGAGTGGCTTACAAACTCCTTTCCCTTCCCCTCCCCACAACAGACACCCTGTGAGGCAGGTGGGGCTGAGAGAGCTCTTGACAGAAACTGCTCTTTTTGAAGGACAGCTCTGCCAGAACTACGGCTTGCAAGTGGAGGAGTGGGGAATCAAACCCGGTTCTCTCAGATTAGAGTCTGTGCACTTAACCACCACAACAACCTGGATTTCCCTACTATGGCTCCGATCACACCAGCAAGGAACTGCGGGCGGGAAGCGAGGCTGTTTGCCTCGGGGCGAACTGACGCGCATTTGCGTGATCAGACTTCTGCCCGCCTGCCCTGCAGTTCCGGATACTACTTACATTTCCCCGGTGACTTTTTGCGCTGCTCCTGCGGCGCAACAAGACGCCCCACCAACGATTCCGGGACGCTGGACAGATGTGTCTGTCTGATCACGTCCCTTTAATCCACGGGGGAATTGTATGTGTGCCGCAGCTTCCGCTCTGTATGATCGCAGCCTATGTGATGTATTTGAGCTGCTGATGCCAAGGATAGAAACAGTACGTGCAGAAGAGGAGGGTAGCCGAAACCGTGGGGGGGGCATGTTTTCTGCCACTGTCCTCTTCTGCACACCTTCTTTCTAACCCTGGCATCTCTCAACTGATGTGAAAGACTGCTACTTGAAATCCTGGACAGCTGATGCCTGTCAGAGTATACATTATTGAGCTTGAGAGACCAGTGGTCTGACTGAGTCTACAGGAGTTTCACATGCACACACAGAACGGCTATTTCTGCCTTTCAGGCCAGCCGCACCTTTCCCTTCTTTAAGTGCTTACAGTTCTCCAGGGCTGTGAAAGCAGAGCTTTCCCAGCAGGCTTTCCGATAGGAGCTGAACCTTATCAGCTATGCCCTGTGCTGACCTAGAGTTAGAAGTTACCTAGAGTGGGGGCATCGCCGAACGTGTTCTTAAATGCACTTTATTTATCGTACCGCCATTGATATATTAACGGTTTTAAATTGTTTACTGTGTTATTTGTACGGAAATGTATATCATTTTACTGGTTTCATGTGAGCCGCCCTGAGCCCGCCTCGGCAGGGAGGGCGGGGTCGAAGTTGAAGAAATAAATAAATAAATATAAGACCCACCATCTTTCCTATGGACTTTAGAAAAGTCTAAAATCGCATTTTAAACATTCAGATTCAAAAGCTCAGTGGGCAGAATGATCGCTCCCCTGTGCAGAGGGCACACAGTTTCCCCGACACTCCGATCCATCGCTGCAGCTCTCTTTGACCCCTATAAATCTGTCTCACAGATGGTTTCAGGATCCACACAGAGGAAACATAAGAAGAGCCCTGCTGAGAGATGCCAGCCTCCATGGGCCACCTGGGGGTCCCTTAGAATAATAGCTCATCTCCAGACTACACAGATCAGTGCCCCTGGAGAAAATGGCTTCTTTGGAAGGCGGACTCTATGGCACTGTATCCCACCAATGCCCCTGTACTCCCCAACCTCCATGCCCAAATCTTCAGTAACTTTCCCAGCCTGGATCTGGTTACCCTACCCCCCGCCCTCAGCTGGTGACCAGGGAGGACCCAATAACGTGTCCAGAAGAGGGCAACCAGGATGGTGAGAGGGGTGGAATCCAAGTCTTATGAAGAAAGGCTGAAAGAGTTGGGTATGTTTAGCCTGGGAAAGAGAAGGCTTAGAGGGGACATGATTGCAGTCTTCAAGTATTTGAAGGGCTGTCATGTAGAAGATGGAGCGGATCTATTCTCTCTTGCTCCAGATTGCAAGACTAGATCTCATGGGTAGAAATTACAAGGGAGTCGATACCGGCTAAATATCAGGGGAAACTTCCTAACTGTAAGAGTGGTTGAGCAGTGGAACAGTCTGCCTCAGGAGGTGGTGGATGCGCCTTCGCTGGATGTTGGGCTGCTGGATGACCAAGCGGAGGCTGGATGACCATCTTTCAGATATGTTGTAGGGCTATCTTCTGGCTATGCTCCTGCAGAGTGCAGGGGATTGGACTAGATGACCTGCAAGGTCCCTTCCAACGCTAACATTCTATGATTCTATGATTCTAACCCTAGCCAGCTGGTATGGCCAAGTGATCCATGTAGCCCCACATACTGGTTCACATAGTGGGCAACCAGTTGCTCTGGAAGGGGCCACACAAACAGGGCACAGTGTTCAAGGCCCTCCCCTGCTGCTGTCTCCTGGCACTGGGATTCAGAGGCTTGCTGCCTTTGTAGATATTGGCTCCCTTCAATCACCATGACCTTGATTAATTTCAGGATGCTCTAGCTCCAGTATTTAACAGCAGTGAGGGTCCACAGGCTGGAGCGAAGAGGGACAAGGGAGTTCATGAATGACCTGGAACCAGGGGTGAGTAGTGTAGTGGCCAAGTTGGCAGATGAGACGAAATTATTCAGGATGGCGTAAACTAAGGCTGACTATGAGGAGTTCCAGGATGAATTGGTGACAGTGTGGCAAATGAAGCTCAATTTGGGTAAGTGCAAGGCAATGCACATTGGGACCAAAATAATAATAATCCCAACTTCAGTTATAGGCTGATGGGGCCTGAACTTGCTGAGACTGAGGGCAAAGAAGATCTTGGGGTCGTAGTAGATAGTTCAGTGAAAGCGTCAAGCCAGTGGGCTGCGGCAGTGGAAAAGGGGGAACTCTACGTCAGGGACGATTGGGAAAGGGATTGAAAATAAAATGGCCAATATCATAATGCCTCTCTTTAGATCTATGGTGCGGCCTCATTTGGAATACTGTGTACAATTCTGGTCACCCTATTCCAAAAAGGACATCACAGAGCTGGCAAAAGTACAGAGGAGGGCAACCAAGATGATTTGGGGGTTGGGGCACCTTCCCTCTCAGGAAAGGCTGAAGAGTCCGAGAGTTTTCGCAGTGGGCTAAAGGGGGGACATGACAGAGGTTAATGAAATTATGCATGGAATTGAGAGAGTTGACTAAGATAATTTCCCCTCCCTCTCCCCAAATACTAGAACTTGAGGGCATCCTATTAAGATGATGGGCACTTGCTTCATAGAATCATAGAGTTGGAAGGGGGCCATTTTTGTTGTTCAGTCGCACAGTCGAGTCCGACTCTTCGCGACCCCATGGATCATCTCCCGCCAGGCCCTCCTGTCTTCCGCCGTCCTCTGAAGCTGGCTCAATTTCATGTTCGTTGCATCGATGACACTGTCTAACCATCTCATCCTTTGCCGTCCCCGTCTTCTTTGACCTTCAATCTTTCCCAGCATCAGGGTCTTCTCCAGGGAGTGCTCCCTTCTCATTTGGTGGCCAAAGTATTTGAGCTTCAGTTTCATTATCTGGCCTTCCAGGGAACAGTCAGGGTTGATTTCTTTTAGGATTGACTGATTTGATCTTCTTGCAGTCCAAGGGACTCTCAAGAGTCTTCTCCAGCACCATAGTTCAAAAGAATCTATTCTTCGGCGCTCGGCCTTCCTTATAGTCCAACTCTCGCAGCCATACATGACTACTGGGAATACCATTGCTTTGACCATGCGGACTTTTGTTGGCAGGGTGATGTCTCTACTTTTTATCATGCTGTTTAGGTTCGCCATCGCTTTCCTCCCAAGGAGCAGGCGTCTTTTAATTTCATGGCTGCAGTCACAGTCTGCGGTGATCTGGGATCCCAGGAACGTGAAGTCTGTCACTACTTCCACGACTTCCCCTTCTATTTGCCAAGGAGTGATGGGGCCGGATGCCATGATCTTAGTTTTTTTGATGTTGAGCTTCAAGCCCACTTTTGCGCTCTCCTCTTTTACTCTGAGCAAGAGGCTCTTTAGGTCCTCTTCACTTTCAGCCATTAGAGTGGTATCATCTGCATATCTGAGGTTGTTGATCTTTTCCCCAGCAATCTTAATTCCCGCTTGTGATTCATCCAGGCCAGCATTTCGCATGATGTACTCTGCATATATATTAAATAAGCAAGGTGACAATATACATCCTTGTCGTACTCCTTTTCCTATGCTGAACCAATCAGTTGTTCCATATCCGGTTCTAACTGTCGCTTCTTGGCCCTTATACAGGTTTCTCAAGAGACATGTGAGGTGGTCTGGTACTCCCATCTCTTTAAGGACCTGCCATAGTTTGTTGTGATCCACACAGTCAAAAGCTTTAGCATAGTCAATGAAGCAGAAGTAGATATTTTTCTGGTACTCTCTTGCTTTCTCCATAATCCAGCGAATGTTGGCAATTTGATCTCTAGTTCCTCTACCTCTTCGAAACCCAGCTTGTACTTCTGGTAGTTCTCTATCCACGTACTGTTGAAGCCTAGCTTGTAGGATCTTGAGCATGACCTTGCTAGCGTGTGATATGAGTGCAATTGTGCGATAGTTTGAACATTCCTTGGCATTGCCCTTCTTTGGGATTGGAATGTATACTGACCTTTTCCAATCCTGTGGCCACTGTTGCGTTATCCAAATTTGCTGGCAAATGGAGTGCAGCACTTTAACAGCATCATCTTCTAAGACTTTGAATAGCTCAGCTGGAATACCATCACCTCCACTAGCTTTGTTGTTAGCAATGCTTTCTAAGGCCCATTTAACTTCACATTCCAGGATGTCTGGCTCGAGGTCAGTGATTATACCGTCGTGGTTGTCAAGGACATCGAGGTCTTTCTTGTATAGTTCTTCTGTGTATTCTTGCCATCTTTTCCTAATCTCTTCTGCTTCTGTTAGGTCCCTACCGTTTTTGTCCTTTATCATGGCCAGCTTTGCATGGAACGCTCCCTTGATTTCTCCAATTTTCTTGAAGAGATCTCTAGTCCTTCCCATTCTATTGTTTTCTTCTATTACTTTGCACTGTTCATTCAGGAAGGCCTCCTTATCTCTCCTTGCTGTTCTCTGGAAATCTGCGTTCAGTTGGGTAAATCTTTCCTTTTCGCCTTTGCCTTTCGCTTTCCTTCTTTCCTCTGCTATTTGTAAAGCCTCATCAGAAAGCCACTTTGCTTTCTTACATTTCTTTTTCTTTGGGATGGTGGTGATTGCTGCCTCCTGTACGATGTCACGAACCTCTGTCCATAGTTCTTCAGGCACTCTATCTATCAAATCCAGACCCTTGAATCTATTCTTCACCTCTACTGTATATTCATCAGGGATGCGATCTAGGTCAAACCTGAATGGCCTCGTGGTTTTCCCAATTTTCTTCAGTTTAAGTCTGAATTTTGCAATGAGTAGCTCATGATCTGAACCACAGTCAGCTCCAGGTCTTGTTTTTACTGACTGGATAGAGCTTCTCCATCTTTGACTGCAAATTATATAGTCAATCTGGTGTAATTTAAACCTATTGCTTCAGGTCTGATCCTCTGCTGCCAACTGGAACAGCTCCCTGCCCTCCTCCAAAGGACAGCCTTTCACATATTTAAAGAGAGCAATTATGTCTCCCCTCAATCTCCTCTTCTCCAAACTAGACATTCCCAAGGCCCTTAGCCTTTCCTCGTAGGGCTCGGTCTCCAGACCCCTGATTTTGCCCGCATCCTTTTTGAAGGGAGGCCTCCGGAACTGCACGCAGTACTCCAAGTGCGGCCTGACCAAGGTAGTATACAGAGGGGCAATGACCTCCTGCGATTTCGATGCTATGGCCCTTTTAATACCACCCAAGACTGAATTTGCCTTTTGGCCACCACATTACACTGTTTGCTCATATTCAGTTTACAGTCCACCCTAACCCCAAGATCTCTTTCGCATACACTACTCACCAGAAACGTATCCCCCATCCAGTATTTGTGCTTGACATTTTTGTGGCCCAGACGTAATACTGTGCATTTATCTTTGTTGAATTGCATCCTGTTTGCAGCTGCCCACTTCTCCAGAGTATTCAGGTCTTGATGAAAGTTAACTCTATCTTCTTGGGTGTTTGCTACTCCTCCCAATTTGGTGTCATCAGCAACTCCTATCCCTTCATCCAGGTCATTGATAAAAATATTGAAAAGTACCGGGCCCAGAAGGACAAAAGGAAATACTTCTTCACACAGTAAGTGAACAAAATGTAGAATTAGCTGCTAAAGGATGTAATGATCTCCATAGGAATAAACAGCTTTAAAAGGAGATTAGATTGATTCATGGAGCACAGGTGAGTAAAAGGAACTAGCCATGGTGAGTAAAGAGAACTTCTGTGTTCAGAGGCACTAAACCTCTGAATCCCAGAGCCAGGAGGCAACATCAGGGAAACGCCTTGGCCTTTGTGTCCTGTTGCTGGCCTTCCAGAGGAACTGGTTGACCACTGTGTGAGACAGGATGCTGGACTAGATGGACTATTGGTCTGATCCAGCAGGGCTCTTCTGATGTTCTTAAGAAGGCCTCAGCCTCTATGCCCCGTTGTTGGCCCTCCAGAGGAACTAGTTGACCACTGTGTGAAACAGGATGCTGGAATAGATGGACTATTGGTCTGATCCAGCAGGGCTCTTCTGATGTTCTTAAAAAGGCCTCGGCCTCTATGCCCTGTTGATGGCCCTCCAGAGGAACTGGTTGGCCACTGTGCAAGACAGGAGGCTGGACTAGATGGACTATTGGCCTGATCCAGCAGGGCTCTTCTGATGTTCTTATGAAGGCCTCAGCCTCTCTACCCTGTTGTTGGCTGTCCAGAGGAAGTGGCTGGCTACTCTGTGAGACAGGATGCTGGACTAGATGAACCATTGGTCTGATTGAGCTGTTCTCATATGGAAATTCCATCTCCCCTCAGCAGAGCTGCACATGTGGACCAGGAAGGCTTTTAGGGCCTTGTCTCTCCTCACTTGAGCCCTCCCCTATTCATGTGGCTACCCAAGTCCCGTGACCTCCAAACTAATCTCACAGGGGTAAAAAAAAAAACTAGACCGATGCTGAGGAATGCAATAGAACTACACCTTCCACATAACTGATGGATGTCTAAAACGTTTTATGGTTTTCCTTTTTTTAAATAAAGAACTTTAATGTCCCTTTATTATTTCCCTGGTTTGGTTTGGAAAATAAAGTTTTGGTTATTTCTCTGGAATGAAAATGAAGTTTTAAAATGGGTACTTACCCTTTCCATGTGCTATAGCTGTATAAAATGGGGTGACCGGTCTCCCAGAGAATACTTCTGAATGATTTATTAGCATTTCTTTTACTGCTTCGTATCCAGACGCTATCACCACAGGAAACGTCAGTGACCAAATAGTGTAAATGGCTCCATATTCCTTTGCCATCTGCATTTTGGGTAAAAAGGTAAGGGTAAAGGTTCCCTTGCTCGAAAACCAGTCGAATCCGACTCTAGGGTTGCGGTGCTCATCACCGTTTCAAAGCCAAAGAGCCAGCGCTGTCCGAAGATGTTTTCTGTGGTCATGTGGCCGGCATGACTAAACACCAAGGCGCACGGAACGCTGTCCCCTTCCCACCGAAGTGGTACCTATTTATCTACTTGCAATGTCTTGCTTTCGAACTGCTAGGTTGGCAGGAGCTGGAACTAGAGACGGAAACTCACCACATCATGCGGCAACCCGGGTCTCGAACTGCTGAAAGACCGACCTTCCACAGCCTGCATTTTTTCCAAATTAACATATGAAATTCAGTGTTTTTCACCTCTGCTGACCTACATGACATAGGTCGCTTCCACATGAAGTTTTTGCTTTGCACCACCCTGAAAAACCTGTAGGGTGGGATTTTTTTTTAAATTGGGACCTCAGCACAACACGGTCATGTAGTTGTCCACCTCCTAGGTTCTCCTTGGCGCATTCTTGCACCTCCTCAAACCCGCTTTGGCATGATCCGTGCTCAAATATTATCAGAGTGGATTTGGGTCTGTAGAAGGCAGAGGTCGATTCGGGGGGGAACGCGGGGGAACACAGTTCCCCCGGGTGAGGTGTGGGGGGGGGGGCACATGACGAAGCCACACCCCCTGCTTCTGGCTGCCCCGCTTCCGGCCCTCATTCAGCCAGGAGGAGGCAGGAGAAGAGGGAGGGTAAGGTGCTTCCTCCCCGCCTCTCCCCACCCCTGCCTGCCTGGGGCCAGGGAGGGCCTTGGCGGGGCTTCCTCGCACTCCCGCCGGCCTTGCAGGTCCACCGCCGGGCCCCTGATGTCAGGGGGTGTGGCATATGCTAATGAGTTATGCTAATGAGTTCCCCTAGCTCTTTTTCTACGAAACGACCCCTGGTTGAAGGCATCTCCTCCCCATTTCCTCTCAGGCCTCCCGAGCTGCCGAGCTAGCACTATAGTAATTAACCTACTACTGAGTTGAAAATACACACAAAACAAGTGTCAAGAACGCAAGCCTGGGTCCCCCCGAGTCACGACCCCTTTGGCAAGGGAGAAGGGCTCAGACCTGTGCAGTGCTCAGCTATGGTGAGGGGTTTTGTGTTCCCGCAAATTGATTCCCTCGCCCTGAAAAAATATGCCTGAGCTGGATAGCCCAGGCTAGCCCAGCCTCCTCAAATCTCGGAAGCTAAGCAGGTTTGGCCCTGGTTGGTGTTTGGATACGAGCAGGGGTCATTTTGTAGAAAAAGAGGTGCCAGAGCTCATTAGCATAACTTATTAGCATATGCCACACCCACCCTGACATCACCGGAAACGCGTCAGAAGGCAACACCCACCGCTCAGGCTCCAGTGGACTGTTTTGGGTTGCTAGCTATTGCGGGGGGGGGGGACTTGCAGATCTGTCCTCACAGAGGAGGGAGAGCTTGTACCTGAATAAGACTTGGTCTTAAAGGTGCCACTGGACTGTTTTGGACCAGGGGGCCAGGGGGAGCTCTGCAACTTACCTGGCTGCTTCTTGCTCTGACTGAGGGCTGCTGGGAGCAGGGGGTGGGGCTTGTTGCATGTGCCCGCCCCCTGGGCTCTTTACTCCCGGAGCTCCGTTCCTGTGCGCTCCTGCAGGAAAGGACCCCTGGATATGAGAGCACCGGGTTGGAATACCAGGGTCGTGACCAATGCGCCCTCTAAGCTGTGGAGTCTTGTGAGCAAAAATTCTACTTTGTGAACTACTGGCATTAGAGTTGTGAGCGAAGGATTGGGCTCCTGCATAAATTAGTTTGCTCCGGAGCCATCCTTCCTGAGCTAAGACAAAAATGTGTGAGCCGGAGGCTAAAAAACTGTGAGCCAGCTCACACTCACTCAACTTAGAGGGAACATGGGTCGTGACACAGAGGACAGGCAATGGGAAATCACCTCTAAACCTCTCTTGCCTTGAAAACCCTACGGGGTCACCTTAAGTTGACTGTGACTTGATGGCAACAACAACGTCAAGGTTTTGACCTTCAAAGCCTTATACGGCCTGGGACCAACATATCTAAGGAACCACCTCTTCCCATATACGCCTCGAAGAGCATTATGCTCGAAAGATCAACACCTCCTGGTGGTCCCTGGCCCGAAGGATGCCCGCCCTGCCTCAACCAGGGCCAGGGCTTTCTGTGTCCTGGCCCCAGCCTGGTGGGACATGTTCCCCATTGAGACCAGGGTCCTGCAGGATCTTCTTCAATTCCGCAGGGCCTGCGAGACAGAGCTCTTCCGCCAGGCCTTTGGTTGAGTCAAGGTGCGCCCGTCTATGGCCTCCCTGAGGTTGCTGTCAACCGTCTGTCACATGTCTACTGACCAACAACAACTGGTCTTTAACCCATTGTACCATCAGGCCGGAACTCTATGGCCAACTTATGCTGTTCCAAGCTGTACCCCCATTGTTTTAATTGTTATCATGTTTTATTGTGTTTTAATGCCTAATGTTTTAAACTGAAATTGTATTTATTTGAATGATATTGCCTGCTGTGAGCCCGCCTGCGGGATTAGCGGGATATAAATGCAAATAATAAATAAACAAACAACAACAACGTGGCGGGTTGGGATTTGTCTTTAAAAAGGTGCTGCTGCTTAGTACTTTTGTCGTAAAATTACAGCCACTGAGATCTGAGCACTTGAATTAGTGGTTTTATCTCAGAGGTTGTTCCCCCCCCCCATGTTGTTCCTGAGGATCCCTTATCCCCCCGCCCAAGCAACATGTCATGAAGATCAGTGGCCTGGAGTAGAAGAAGAAGAAGAAGAGAAGAAGAAGAGATTGGATTTATACCCCGCCCTTCACCACCCAAAGGTGTCTCAGAGCGGCTCAGAAACGCCTTCCCCTCCCCCTCCCCCTCCCCACAACAGACACCCTGTGAGGCAGGCGGGGCTGAGAGAGCTCTTGACAGAAACTGCCCCTTTTCAAGGACAGCTCTTATCAGAACTATGGCTTGCCCAAGGTCATCCAGCCAGGTGCAAGTGGAGGAGTGGGGAATCAAACCCGGTTCTCCCAGATTAGAGTCCGTGCACTTCACCACGACACCAAAATGGCTCACTGGAGTACGGTACTGTGACACATTCATGACTGTAATCATTTATATGCATGTTGACCTATGTATTCCTCATGTAGTTTCATAACCTATGTGATGTTCAAGTGCAAGCAAGGCATAGTACTTGTTGTGTATGCAGACCGCCACCGGGGGGCCAGCAGTCAGCCTGAACTGCCAGAGCTTGACTCTGGGATAACAATAGGGACTAGCCTCCTAGTCCCTCCACTGGGGAGCCAATGGGAACCATGGCGGGAGATTCAAACCCACCAATGGTGACCAGGGGTGTGTCCCCAGGGATGTATATAGTTGGCCCCCGGGCCGTTGTTCCCTCGGTCTTGTTGTGTACCAATAAAGCGTGCTATGCACTACGTCGTCGTCTGTCGTCTCTCCATGCGACAACCCACTACACAATAGTGGCGATGAGGATGGGATCCTGCCGCATCTGAGCCGGGCCGTCGCGAGGAACCAGGAGAACGCGAAGCAGCCGATCCGATGAGTGAGACCGCTTCTCCCGCAACCCCTCCGACGTGCACGATGGCTACCGCTCAAGGGCTAGGGCTGCTTCCACCCTTCGACATAGCCTGCCCGCAGGACTGGGCCTCCTGGGTCCAAGGCGCCAAGTCCGCGCTTGAATTTTTTGATGTCACAGATGAAGGCAAGAAGAGGGGTTTCCTCCTGGCCTCCTGCGGCACCTCTGTGGTGTCCCTGGCCGGACGGCTTCTCTCCCCCACTAGCCTCGGCAACTGCACCTTCGAGCAGATCGTCAACGCGGTGCAGAACCACTTCGCACCCAAGCCCACCGAGCTGACTTGCTGGGTAACATTCTACACCCGCAACCAACTGGGCAGAGAGACCGCCGCGGAATTTCTCGCCGAGTTGCGCCAGCTCGCGGCCGATTGCAACTTTGGGACACACCTGGACGATGCCCTCCATGACCACTTCGTCGTGGGCCTGCGAGAGGAGAAGCTCCGACGGAAGCTGATGGAGAAGGAAAAGGTCACCCAGAAGGAGGCCCTCGCCGCCGCAGTCACGTGGGAAAGGTCGCACTCCACCCCATCTGCAGCCCTCCAGGTCGAGCCAGAAGGCCCCGAGGAACAAGACGTCCACCGGGCCCACGGAGGGGCCCGGCCACGCTCCCAAGCACCGCAACGCACCCCAGCGGCGACCTCTAGCGCCGGCCGCCAGCATCCCAGCGCGTCCACATGTGCCAGCTGCGGGGAGTCGCACGACCGTCGGACCTGCCGGTTCCGCAACGTGGTCTGC